GACCGGCAGTTACGGAGCAGGCCGGGGAACCTCTCGCTGGACGTCCGTGCAAAGTTCCCATGTGACGGGGCCGCCGTTTGATGGTCTCGGGCAGACATACCCTTCCGGGAGTTATCTGTGGTCCTGGTGAGAGGTGGCTGTGGGAGCGGCCCGGTTCCTTTGCACGCAAGTAACGCCGTGTTTCTCTCCTATACACCAAAGGTGCCTTCATGAATAACTTAAATGACCCTCCCAACTGGAACATCCTGCCAAATCAACGAGAGCCCGGAGATGAAGGCAGCAGATGGAACTACGCCTTGCTGGTCCCCATGCTGGGCTTGGCTGCCTTCCGTAAGTAGTGCTCAGGCCTGTCTGGTGGAGCTGGAGTGTGTGCTGGGCTCGGGCGTCTCACCAGCCCGACAAAGGGGAATCTCTGAAGCAGTACAGTCATAACATAATGCTCCATCTAGACATTTCCTCTGGTCTGCTCATTTATAATGTCATAAACAGTAAGTACTGTTTGTAACATTAAGGCAACAGCCATTTTTCACACATGGAATCAAATCTGTATTTAATAAGCTCCAGTTTACCAAGCTCTCTCAGAAGAGTGGACATATAATGTGCTAGAGAGCCCAAAGGTAACAACCCAAAGAACCACTGATTTTTATTTACTGGACCTGAAAAGTTCTCAGTGCAGTTCCTGCATTATAAATCTCCAGTTTGTTTCCCCATAACTTTCTTTTCCTTCTTTAATCCAAGAAATGTATGTATTAGTAATGAAAGACTAGGGGAGATTTTACTTTGAAGTAAACACGATCATTTAAAGTGACTTACTGTGAAACATGGACCCACAGAAATACTTTTTGTGGGACATGTGAATAGAAGTGGATATCAGTGGGGAGGGCAGGAAGGAAAAGTTTTCACCACTCAATAGCTTCTTGAGTGGCATAGTTAATTAATCATACCCATTGATGTTATATGTGTTTATACTGATGTCTGAAGTCTCATTTATATATGATAGGTTGGATCTGGACCAAAGAATGTCAAAAAGAAATAGAAAGAGAAAAAAAAGAATATTACAAAAAACATTCATCTTTACAAAAAGACCTGGAAGCCAAATACCGGGATGTAATCACAGAAAATCGTCGCGCAGTTGCTCACTTGGAGCTGGAGCTTGAAAAGGAACGCAACAGAACCCTGAGTTATCGTGAAGCCCTTGTGTCCCAGAGTCGCAAACTAGTAGAAGAAAGAAGGATCCTAGAACAGGAGCAGGAGAAGTTAGAGCGAGAAAAACAAATCCTTTTGCACTCAGGAGCAGCAGGTAACTTGTACCAAAGTTGTCTGGCAAAGGAAGAAGAGTGGCAGAAGAGAGCCAATATTTTACTGAAAGAATTTGAAGAGGGACTTAAAGAAAGACAGGACATCTACTGCAGTCTTGTTGTACCCAGAAGTCAGAGACTAGAAATAGAGAAAAATCTGCTAGTTAAAGCGGCAACTGATCCTGTTGCTATGGCTCTACACATGGAAAGTGGCTTAAAAGATATTTTCAAACACGATAACTACTGTGGCAATCTGCTGAACAGAAACAAAAGTCAAAATGGGAGACTTATGTGGCTGTATCTGAGATACTGGGAACTAGCTATTGAACTACAAAAGTTTAAGAGGGCAGAAAAGGCCATGTTAGGAAAACGATAAGTAGGGGAAATAATGGGATTTCATGTGATCCACCATGCATAGTAGGGACAATCACAGTTGTAGTCTGAAGCTGTTAAATTATCCTGCTGTGTTTCCATTTATCCTCCTTGTTGCACTTGTATTTGCATGGGACATGTGCAGTGTTGGTGCCTTTCCTTTCACTGTCTAACAGATGCTCCAGTGAGCTATGCATGCTCTTAAACTCTGTGAGTGTGTTTGTACTGCAGACTGCAGCGTAGTATAGAGAGATGCCAGCTTCCATGAGTATGCAGCAAAACAGAACTCTGTTTAGAGTGATTTACCTGGTTGATTGTCATACTCCATCAACAGGGAAGTGTGATTTATCTCCCCCAAGTGGGGTACTACATTGTGCTCCTTATCCCCGATGTTTTACATGATGTCTCAACATTATTTTTGGGTTTTTTAAGTTGTTGGTTTGTTTTAAGCAAGACTGATTTTTGAGGCAGATGTTTGGAAGAGGCCGTATTTGAGCAAGGTCCTTGTCACATAAATCATACATGTATGTTTATATAATACATATGTGTGAACATGTGTATAAATGTATGTATTAGTATTCTGAGGGGGGGAATAGTATGGTCATGTTTCAAATTAATCAGTCTTGCACTGTCTTCCAACTTAATGTACAAATAATACTTTATGAATGGAACATCCAAAAGATGCTAATTAACACATAAAGAAACAGGTTGATGAAAGTCTTATTGGAGCTAGGGATCCATGCTTGAATGCTAGAGAGTGTATGAACTCAGAATTATATTCTTGTCATACTGTAGGTATGTTAAGAACATTTAGTTTATCTCTCAGTCAAGGTTTTGGTTGTATCCCAACAGTGTGCCTCCATTATAGACATCACTGTGCTGCTGCCTCTGCATCCCAGTGCACTGGCTGATACCTGGTGAGCTTGCAGGAACCTCTGTGGCTTACAGCCATTGCACCTGGCTCTGTTCCTTGGACAGGTCCTGTTTGTTATTTGCAGAGAGGAACCTAAATGCAGCCCGCACTGGTAGCCAGTACCTCCCTCCCTGACTGTCGCGGTTCTCCCAGAACTGAAGTACACTTCTCCGCAGCTCTTAAATGTTGAGCTTATGGTTCACTGCTTCACATATGACCATGAAAGCCTACAGATATTCAAGCTTTGCAATGTTTTAAGAAAGGGGCTTTTCACTTTAGTTAGCACAGTAAAATAAACAGATCTAGATTAAATTTATTGAAAAAATACCCCAGTGCATTTCCATGTTTGAAATCGCTTAAAACTTTGAGTATTCTTTGGGTCCTTGTAGCAGTAGGAACCACCTTCTTTTTTCTAATGTGTCATGTATTTTGGAGAATAAATCTTTTTTTTTTTTCCTTCCTCCTTTCTAATCTAGCCTTAGACCCCAAAGGCACAGTGTTTACCCTTTTGTTTATAACATCTGGTTTTCTCTGTTACTTGACCTTGATTAGTGTTGGTAGTTGTCAGTTCTTTAATTAGCAGGTCTTTATTTACTGAGGGCTAGACTTGACAAAGATGTTTGCTCTAGGCAATCAGCTACTGCATGGCCCAGAAGCAATCCAGCTAAGTGAATGCCCATCCAAGTTTAACAGAGAACTCCAGCAGATATGGGTCTTTTCTCTTATTATTTCCTTCTGGTTTCATTTCAGCCTGGACACAGAACACAGCAGATAAATCTTGTGAAGTAGTGTGTGCAACCTAATCCAGTTACTCAGCAAAAATATCTAACATGAAACAAAATTCTTAAACAGAATATATTTCCCAACTACTCAGTGTTTCAGTTGTGATTTTGCTTACCTTGGTGGTGCTAATTACACTGTTGTATTGATTTATTAGTCTCTTATGTACTGGTTTTTAATTTTTTTTTTTTTTTAATAAAGCTGTAGTAGACAGACCTAGGAAAAAAAAAAAAGAGATACCATCACAAACACCAGAAGGGCCAAAGTTTGTCTGGATGCCAAGTGTATGTGGGTTGGGAGATGAGAACACAATTGAGTTACTACTCTTGTGTGACAGCCTGAGCCAAGCTGCTATAGCTGGCTGTATGCACATGCCCTAATTGCCCAGTAGAACAAATTAGTTTGAACATCTAATTACCCTGTGTGTAATTCCTCCAGGATGTGGAAGGTGTCTGACCACACAGCTGTCATACATACATACAGGCAGTTAAGCAACACAGCTGACAAACAGCAGCCGGCAGATCAATGCCAATGTATTTGAGACTCATGCCTTGACTGTGTACATATTCGTTAGTTCTTATTATTAAAAGACAAACATTTTATGTTTTTTCTTTTTTTCAGTATAAATATGTAAGTTGAAACATTATATGCTCAACTGTACAGAGTTGGATGCAATGTAATAAATGTTTGACACTCGCTTTCACTTCTTTAGAAGTGTCAATTATTTGTACAACTAATTGTTGAACTATTGTTCGTGGACACTTTACAGATCAGCGTATTAAGACTGAAGAGTTATTTGAGGAGGATTTTTAAAAGTGTGTAACTGGTTTAGAAGCACTGGTCCCGTTAGTTTCTACCAAAACTTACGTTTCTTAGCGTGTTACGTACTTTTGAAACATTCCCCCTTTGTAGGTTGTCATGTTGAAAGTTCTATTGTGAGCTTTATCTTGCACAACAGCTATTGTTCTGAATTGGTTATTTGTTTGGAAATGCCCATATATATGTAGAATGCAAGAATAATTGGTTTTAAATATTTAGTGAACTTTTTTTGGTTATGAAAATGGTCACTTACCTGTTAAATGACAATAGTAACAATAAAAACCTTTACATCCTTCTGCACTGTTTTGTAATGTGGGTGAGGTAAGTGGGAGGAGTGGAATTTGCTCTTTCAGTCCAACTTTCTAGGCAAACTGCAAAATTTTTAAAGTACCATGTAAAAAGTTTCATGCTGAGAAGAGGATATGTTGGAAAGTTTTTTTTCTTTCTTAGGAAAGAACAGCATCATTAAACAGATAAGTGCACCAGCATTAACTAAAGATGAGTGATTAAAGATGACTGCCCCACTGAAGCACTGGGGTAATTCCTTCTGTCTGTTATGCAGGGTATTCTGCCTTCCTCCAGAATCCCTCAAATGTCTCATTCTGCATGTCGGCTCCTTTTCGTTTCCCTGTATGGATTTTCTCGTCTTCCTGCCCTCTGTGAAAAAGAACAATCCAGCTACTCTAGGATGGTGTCCAGACACTGGGAGTTCTTGTTCCCTTCATAAAAGATCCTTAATCTCTTTGTATTTGACACAATCCTTTGCATTTACTCATCTTCATGTGGAGAATGCCATCCTTGTGAAATATTAGAAATGAAGAAAAGAGGACAGCTTGATACCAAACTGAGAACAATAGCTAGTGTTTGTTAGGTTTGTTCTCCTAACTTTAGGATTATCGCACTGTTTGAGTCTTGGAGTTTGGAGTTTCTTTTTAACACATTTATTGTTCCAGTGGTTCACACATCGCTCAGTCACAGCCTTTCCTGAAAGTTAGTAATACACAGGTTGGAAGAGGTGTCCTAGGGCTACTAAGGAACAGAGGGCTGCAGGTTCCTTTCCAAAAAAAGCCATCATGCGCTTGGAGGTGCTGATCGTGGTGCCAGGTTTGATGGAGGAGACCCCAGGTGTCTGCCCCACAGGCGTCCACCAAGGGAACCTCCCTCAGGGAAGTCTCTCTGCCTCGTCTGAGTCCCAGTGGAGCGTGCCCTGAGAGCAGCTACACGCTCTGGTTTCACCACTTCACAGCTAAGTTGTCCCCAGTCTGTACCCCGCAGGGCAGTAGCTGTGTTAATACAACTTTCGGCATTTAGACACAGGTAAGGACACGCCCCGAGACATCTCATGCTTTCTATAAAAGCAAAGAACATGTTCTGACTTGTCCGTTGTGTGGTACAGCTGCTGTCCTGGGTGCATGCAACGCAAAAAGAAACACAAAACATGCTCTGGACTTGACAGAACTTGGACGGAGTGCTAGAAAAGGGAAATCTTCCTTAGAAAATGCTCCAGAAGGGGAGTGGGTAAGGGGGAGCAGCTTTCTCTTGCTCCTTTTGCCTAAATAGGAGCTGCCAGAAGACCGCTGACATGATAATGTGTCTTGCTTGAAGGGATGCTGTGCTCTGGAAGTGACAGCTCTTGTTCAAGTCCCCGTGAAAGGAAGGGTCTTAGCGAAGCCACCCATTACCTCTCGCTCTTTAAGTCAAGCTTTTGAGCGCCCCGATGTGAGGATGAGAAAATAGTGAGAGTTCCTCTGTGGAGGATACAAGGCAGAAACAGTGATCAACGGTTCGGGTATTGTGGCAAAAGAAATGGAGATTAAGTTGCAGCTGTCATAAAAGGATTAAATCCAAGTTTCCTCTATAGTTATAGTCGTGCTGCAGTTGGATGTGAAGGCTTTGCCTGTGTGCATGCCAAGGACACACAGTCATGAATTGACTGCCCGGTCCAAGAGCTCTCCAGCTAATCCCTGCATAGCTGCGACAACAGATGGATCTGCAAAGAAGTAAGTCACCGAAATTTAGGGTAGCTTGGCAATGAGGACACCAATTGATGTGCCAGCCACTTCACAGCAAAACAACCAACCGATTGCGGCAGGGGGCCTCCCCACCGCGTG